TTTGAGGGTGTTGGAATGCCATGATTAGACATCGAGTTCCCAAGAACGAAACATCCATATCCACCGTGAACCTCAACTCAGCCATGCTACATCAACCAAGCGGACTAGCTCTCGTAAGGCTAACGAGGCAACCAAAAAGCAGCATGTGATCACGATAGGTCTTGTGCTTCAATGTGCACTGCCCTTGTACTCTATGGCTATTGACCAGACAAGTGCTGTGTAGGATCTCAGGGGGATATTTGTCCCTTCTTGTAACTTGATCTGACCAATCCGCGATTGGTAGTTAAAGTTTTCTCACAACTTCTTGGGCCCTTAAACTCGTTAGGCACCCTTATTCAGAGACCCCTGACTTCATACGGCAAAGCAACACCATTCCGGACCTATTACTTGAAGCAGGAATTCAAGTACACCCCACAATTGTGACCAAAAGGAGGTTGAAGATAGCTTTCCAAAGCTATACTGTGTGAGAATACGTGCAGACATTCGTCCGTTACTAACTCCACGGCAAATTATCAGGAGCCAGTAGAGGCTCTTGGTTGGACCTCGAACCGCAGATGTCTTATTCCCTGCTTCTGCCTGTAACCGAGGCCTCTCCGACGAGCCTTGTTCACTGAGTTTACCGTGCAATGCTTGTTGCCGTACTCAGCCATGCATCTGTTTAGACTTGAGGCTCAACTGCACCCCCAATATCTAGAATCAAGAATTCAGACAAGAAGCTATTTAAGCAACGCCAAGTTCTTAAAAGTTTAACCTCAGTCATTCCTTCTCTAGCTCTTTCTCGACTATCTTAACATCTATACACTGTCCTGGAAGACTCTACTGAAGCTGCGTGTAATACTTTCACGACGATGCGAATAGCTATAGCTGGGGGCTCCGGCCTTGGATATCTCCTGGCAAGCCATATATCCAAAGCAGCAAACGCTTATCAAGTTGTTGTTCTCTCACGTTCTGTAAGTATTACACTTATGTGTACACGATGTCTCTAACAACACAGTCACGTCCCGAATATGCAACACTTGATGTTCAAGTCATGGTTGTTGACTACAATGACGAAAATAGCCTAGCATACGCACTTCACGGAGTTAATCTTGTCATCTGCACCTTTTCGGGGGGTGAACAGATCAACCTGATTACTGCAGCTGTCCAAAGCGGTGTACAGTTCTTTGTCCCATCCGAGTTCGAAGGAAGTCTCGAAAAGCGGCCCGAAAACGATCCGCTCGACCCCTTTTCATACTCGTCCCAAACCAGGCAGCATCTCAGACGTTGTGCAAGATCATCCCAGATGAAGTGGACCGTATTCTCCTGCGGTATCTTCATGGAGAGATTTCTCCCCCGGGGGCTCGGAAGTTTGGCCATTGGTTATGGTTCAAACTTAGCCAACGTGGGATCCTACATTCTTGACATGAATACCTATACCGCTGAGTGCGTTGAAAAGAACTCTCGAGGGCATACTGTCCGTGTCTGCATGACATCTGTATATGATGTTGCTCGATTCATCGTTGCCGCCATTGATTTGGGACCTGCGAACTGGCCTCGGGAGTTTACGATGAGAGGAGATCGTCTGTCGCTTCGTGACATTGTTGGGCAGTGCTCAAGAACCCTGAACGGTAAGTTAACAGTCTAAGTATACAATGGTTATGCTAACTCGTTAAGCGGCATTTTCTCTGTCTCAATGGCAAGCTTCGGATATCGCGGGACTTATGAGCGGTTTCTATCAACAGGGAGACTACGCAAAAGTTGCCTTCTATCGGCAACTTCAAGCTACTGTTGAGGGACGTTACGATTTTGGGCATACATCGTTGAATGGTCTCGTCAACATCCAGCCGAGAAGCTTTCGCCAGTGGTTGAGTGACCATTTTACAGGATAAATCCACTATGAGGGTTTCATCTAGGTTCTTAACTATAGGTCAGCAATACAGTCTTTGACTAGGTTGTGTCGATGGACATTCACTTTCTTTAGTTTACAGCTGTGCTGTATGTTGGTACTGGTAGCAACAAGGCAACAAATTAGCGGCTGGTATCGCGGCTTTCATATTTTACTGTTTCTAGGTAGCTAAAAGAACTAAACTCCGCTCTTCACTCTTTACTGCAATTGCCCATAGAACGTTTTGTGGCCTTTATCCTTATTGCTATAGGTCCTGTTTGAGAACGTACTGTATGGAGGAAATACTTATGAGGGACACCAGGCCTGGCATTGGAAGATCCTGTCCGACAAGCGGCCACACCGAGTCTAAAGACTGAGACGCTTGTCTTTATGACTTGATACTGATACCATTATTTGTTCAGAGCAATCCTGGCCGAACTTTGAGGAATGATTTCATGATTTACGACAATCTTTCCCTTAATTACTAAACTTAGTTCCCGTAATGTAGGCTTGCGTTTCCCGTGACAAACTCCGCCTTCTTCCAAGAATATGACCTTGTAGTTAGTCTTTAAGATCGACAACAGGTCCGGGAATAGGTTCATGTGGAGGCTGGAAAGCCAAACCTCGGGACAAGGTATGACCCCAGTCCAGAATGCGGAGAAAACATGCATAATCCCACCAACGATCATGGTTCACATTCCGTTTCTGGCTCTTAGTTCCGCGGTGAAAACACCAGAAGTCCATGAACCCGGAATCTCTTCCGCACGACTTACCCAAAATGGCGGAATACTGGCTCGAGTTGGAGGTCGGACCCCACTGGAGGTCCCCGATGAGATGTAGTCGATGGCTTGTGATTGAATGCTCTGACAAGTGTTAGCAGTGCAGACCAACAGTGATAAAGCAGCCTCGGGCGGGATCCAACATGTTCAAATTTGTCTTCTCTCACCCCGTTCAATCATGGAGGCTTCAGGCGCAGATAAGGGCTTCTTTCAGAAGCCTCCCGTTCTGAACAATCAGTTTCATGATGATGTGACCTTTCAGAGATGCTTTAAGTGTCAGTTTAAGGCCAACTAATATTACTCGAGGCCTGTGCTTACTTGTCTTTGCAGTGTTTCTTCCACATCAAATCGTTCAGCAAGTCCAAGCTGAATTGGCTTCACTTGGAGCTGATGTCCTCTCCGACCAAGTTTTTGCTTGGATCACGGATGCTGAACATAACAAACCCTTCCTTAAAGGATCAGGTCGTGATGTTTTCGGCCAGTGGAAGGGTGATTTAGTCACTGGTGAAGGGTGGCGTGGTCTTCAGAATTTTGGTCTGTCCCGAGGGTAAGACATCTACGTTGTTGACTGATCAGCTATTGACATGTCTAGATTTGTCGCCGCTGGATATGATACTCCATTTGGGGCATTTGCAAGAGCATACCAGTTCATGCGCATACAACTTTGGACGCCATCGTGTGCCAATGTCGGTTGTCCTTCCGCTATGCAGGATGGCGCTGCTCGACTTCTACAAACACACCTTAGTAGCCCAGAACTCGTTGCAAAACTCACAGATGAGCAAAAGAAAGTATTCGAGAACGCTTTCAATCATCTAACCACACGTGATCCACAGAGTGCCTGGACCAGTGGCCAGTGGATGACTGAGCGAACAGGGGGCAGTGATGTGTCGTTGACCGAAACAACAGCAGTGCACATGCCAACTTCTGAAATCCAGCTCGCCTCGAAGGATGAAGATATACCATTAGGACCATGGAGTATCAATGGCTTCAAGTGGTTTTCGTCAGCAACGGACTCAAGAATGACTGTTCTCCTTGCTCGAACATCTAGAGGCGGACTGTCAACCTTTATGGCTCCCATGTACAAGCACGATGCGAGTGCTACCACAGCTACGGGACTTCCGAAAAGCAACGGGGAGCAACTTAATGGAGTTAGGATCCAGCGCTTGAAAAACAAATCAGGCACACAGAGTCTCCCAACAGCTGAACTAGTCCTCCAGGACATGCGAGCATGGCTTGTAGGGCAAGAAGGCCGAGGCATCCAGGAAATCGCAACAATTTTGACCTTGACTCGAGTTCACTCTTCAGTTGCTGCTGTGGGTTATTTAGGAAGAGGACTTGCCATCGCAAGAGCATATGCTCAAGTTCGAGAGGTTGGTGGCGGAAAGGGAACTCGAATGAAGCTCACAGAGAGTTCATTACACATGAGAACCCTTTCAAAGGTATCTTCCGAGTATCGCGGCCTTATGCTTCTTACCATCTTTACATCATATGTCCTTGGAGTTTCGGAGCATGACATGGCGTCAGATGCAAATCTTTCATCTGCGCTAGAGGCGTTGACACCTTCTGCACAACATGCTGCGCCATTGATTCGGGTTCTTACTCAGCTCACAAAAGCTTACGTTTGCAAAGCATCGGTACAACTACTCTTCTCTTGTATGGAGGCGCTCGGTGGTGTTGGGTACCTTGCCAATGAAGAACAAGAGTACCTCAATATCGCCCGCCTCCATCGCGATTGTGCTGTACTGCCTATCTGGGAGGGCACAACAGATGTGTTGAGCACTGACTTCTTGAGGGCTATTAAGCATCCAAAGGCTGGTCAGGACACTCTGAACGCCCTCGAAGACTCCATTAAGAAAGGTACGGCATTTCAAGGAAAGGTATCTTGGCCTGAAGGCTTGAACCCTTTGGACGTTTGGAAGAGCCTGAGGCAGCGTATTGAACGAGAATCGCCGGCAGACTTAATGGGAGATGCTAGGGAAGTTCTCTGGGCTGTGGCAGACTTACTGGTGTCTGTTCTGCTCTATGTTGACGCTGGTAGTGACGGTGATCAAGTGTCACTGGACATTTTCCATCGGTTCTTGGAAGGGAAGAATGTCACTACGAAGCGAGAAAAGGTCTCAGCTCGAGAACAGCTTGCTAAGGACTTCGCAGTTGTGTATGGAGGTACTGGAAACGAGATCTTTGCCAAGCTTTGACAGCACCATTGGCATTAATTTATGGCCGTATCATGTCACTCATCTTTGCGAATCTAGGGCCAACACTATTCTTGTTATATATAAAATGAAAGCTCAAGAGGGATCAAGAATGTTGAACCAAGTGTAAAGAATGGGTATCAAATTGTTGTGCGCCTATCCCCATCAACCCTGCAAACTCTTGCATGTGCCCTTAAAATTCTTCGCCTTCAGTGTAACCTTCTTACACGTCGTAGCATCTGTGTGTTTCTCTCCATACAGAACAGTACCCTTTGCACTCGTAGAAGTCTTTGAGCAGGAGTTGAACGTGCTTCCTCCATCGTGCTGAAGAAGCGTATTGCTGCCACTCTTTTGTAACGTCCATGATTGGAAACCAGGCGTTGGATCGACGCATTTGAGAGCACCGCTTGGGCTGAGAAAGCAAGCGTTGAAGGCGTTGTCTCGAAGGATGTCTTGAGAATTGGACAGATCGATACAGTAGAAGCCGTTGGTTTTGCCGGCATTAAGCAGCAGGTTGCCGTCGCTGTTTTGTTGGACTGTAGCACTAGTTGCCACATCTTGTAACGTGAAGCAGCAATGGCCATCGAAGACAGTATCACGAGGGATAACTGCAGCTGTGGCCATGGAGCACAAGAGAGTGACCAGAGTGGACGACTTCATCTTGAAGTGAAGGGTATGATGGATGATGTGAGCAGTGTAAATTAAGTATAGGACGAACTTGTAATATTATTGAGTCCAGCTCAATTGTTAAAGATAGTAATAGAGAACTCAAACATCGTAGACATCACAAGAATTCCCTCACCTTTTATAATTCTGGAGACCTCATTATCCATCACCCGTCGGGCTCGGCTTCATTAAGGATCAGCAGAAATAAATCCATTCAAAGGCATCCAACCGAATGTGAGAATGCACGTTGGTCGAAGGATTGAGTCAGAAAGGAAGCCACTTGGCTCATGATGGTCAGCAGAAAGTCACATTTATCGTGAAAAGTCGGTCTCTAGAGCTGTGATGTCCCGTGCAGGTGATTCCAAGTGATGGACGTGACGATTTCCATTGGGAGTCTCGGGGTTTCGCGCTATAGGACGAACAAAACTAGGGCCATTCTCAGGAGCGAATGGCTTGTCAGGAACAGCCGCGAACTAATTACCAGAGTGACATTCGACGTGATTGTTGGTGCTATGCCGTTCATGCTCCGAGATGCAAGGCACAAGGTGGGTGACAGGCCAGGGATATCCTTCTTCACCGCAGTATAGAAAGCGGGGATAGCTTCATTTCATGCGTCCAGCCACAGACTGCCAGGGAGAACATCTTGAGGAGAAGATTGGTTGCAGGGAGTCAAGTGTGACGATGCATGGATCCTGGAGGTGATAAAGGTGCGTCTACCTACTGGGAGCTGTGAGACTAGCTCAGCCAATCAGAGGCCGTAAAACGGTTAATCACGCTGCGGGTGGAACGCCTGTACAGTCACGTGAAACAAGATGTCGGTCATCGGCGAAGGCCTTGGAGTGATGCACCGTTTGTTACGCTCAACTCAAAGCGTAACCGTCTGTGCCTCTACGTCACATCCTCTACTCTACATTCAACGCTTCACTTTACCTCTAATAGTGTGTTTTTCTACGTTGATGTGCCATATTCTTCATCAAATCATGTCTCACCACATCTGACGTGTTCTTGTTTTGATCCTTCGTTATCATAAGCAGCTCATCTGACTTCAGCGATCTTCTGCTTAGCACGCTTCCCCGACCTGCCTAATCCACCTACAGTATCCTACCGTTTCACCGCTCGCGGGCGACTTCCAGCTCTAACTTATTCATAAACCTCCACCGAACACTTGAGAGCAACTGCTTCCTCCAATCAATCAAGGAATCATGGCGGACGAACATACCATGTCCAATGAAGAGTGGGAGGAAGTCTCTCAAGACATCCCCTCACTCTCGGACCCCTTCCTTCAGCAATATCTCACAGGCCGAGCAAACCTCATGAGTCAAGAACAAAAGTCTCGCACAGATGCTTCATTCAGAGCCTCTCTTTCACCTATTGCCAAGCGTGCGAGTGACATTGTCGACCGCATCCGCGACCAGGAGAATGACTCCATCTGGACCCCTCAAGTTGAGGAAGAGCTAGCCCAAGCAGGAAACGAGTGCATCTTTCCCGGAATGATGTTCATGCTGGCAAAAGATCGCATGGAGAAGACCAACCTTTGGAAGATTGTTCGACGCATGCCAAAGGGAGCCCTGCTTCATTCTCACATGGATGCCATGGTCAACTTTGACTTTCTCTTTGACGAGCTTCTGAAAATGCCAGGAATGCACATGTGTAGCGACCGACCTCTCAACACTGAAGAATCTCGAGAGGATGCAGTTCCTAGCTTCCGATACAGAACCAAGGCGGACACTGATGGATCTATTTGGGAAGAGAGCTACAAGCCTGATGCTTTTGTGCCACTTCCAAAGGCGGCAGATGAGTTCCCCCATGGTGGACGATCCGGCTTTCTCAAGTGGCTGAAGGGTCGATGCACTCTTTCCGTCACAGACAGCCATGAGCAACACCATGGAGTCGATGCTATTTGGGTCAAGTTTGGGAAGTGTTTCCTCGTGTGCGCCACCATCATTCACTATGAGCCCATGTTCCGTATCTTCCTCCGCGAACTCATGAGGAACCTCAAAGATGATGGTGTCAACTGGGCTGAGCTTCGGTAAGCCATAAGTCAACAATTCCGATCTTGTTCTAACAATCATAGATTCACTTGGCCACTTAACTACTGCCGTGATAAGCAAGAGGAGCCTGAGAAAGACTACATTCACATGTTTGAGGTTCTGCGCGAGGAAATCGATAACTTCAAGAAATCGCCGGAGGGAAAGGGTTTCTGGGGTCTCACCACTATTTGGACCTGCCTGAGAAGCTGGCCGACCCGTCTGATCGTAGAGAACATGGACTGCTGCATCGCTACCAAGATCGCTTTCCCTGACCTCATTGCTGGTTATGATTTGGTTGGACCCGAGGATTTGGGTCGACCCCTTTCTGATCTACTCCCCGAGCTTTTCTGGTTCCGCAAGCAGTGTGCCATGGAAGGCGTCAACCTCCCCTTCTTCTTCCATGCAGGGGAGACACTTGGGGATGGCACTGATACTGATGCCAATTTGTTTGATGCGATCTTGCTTGGCACCCGACGCATCGGCCATGGCTTCAGTCTCTTCAAGCACCCCCTGTTGATCGACATGGTCAAGGAGAAACGGATTCTCATCGAATCGTGCCCCATCTCGAACGAGGTCCTCCGCCTCTGTGGCTCCGTAACAGCCCATCCCCTGCCCGCCCTTTTGGCCCGTGGTGTTCCTTGCAGCCTGTGTAACGATGATCCCGCTATGCTCGGGCAAGACACAGCCGGCATGTCACACGACTTTTGGCAGGCTCTCCAGGGGTGGAAGAACCTTGGTCTTGCAGGCCTTGGCAGTCTCGCGGAGAACAGCGTTAGATGGGCCGCTTTTGAGGATCAGAGCCAGACTGACTGGATCAACGACATCAAACAGGCTAGTCTTGGGACGAATGTCAAGGCCAAGAGAATGCAAGAGTGGCAGATCGAGTGGGAGAAGTTTTGTCTCTGGATTGTTGAGGAGTTTGGAGACGAATTTGGAGATGAAAAGGAGAAAGAAAAGGCCAGTGATGCCTAGACACTTCTTTACGACAAGACCATAGACTAAGATGAAGGGAAATTTGGTGCATATCGGCGTTGCATACTGGTATTTAGGTGCGTTCAACACAGACGGTTGGGGAGTTCAACCATTATCTCCATGGATAGGGGCGTATCAGAGGTGTACTTCATAAAGATCTTGTGCCTAGAAATGTCAATAAGACTAGAGAGTCAACATCACCCACTTTGAGTCGTATTTTCGTGATGGGGATGGTGGCCTTCGTCACGATGCGAGCCCTTTGGTCTCCTACAGCCAATCGTACATCATCGACATTTGAAGATTCCGTGTACAGCGGAGCAAGAAGAGCCACTCCGGATCCTATGAATAAACGTAATACATTAGATTCTAGAGGTGACACAGGAGATTGTGAAAGTGCACAGGAGTTAGCTTTTGTCTGTCATTAATTACATTTCATTTGTATCAAGGTTCAAATATCTACTGGTGAATGGCTTTTTATCTTCGTATTTGGCCCAAGGAATGGGCGGTTCAAAAAATGATTAGGAATAGAGGCACTGCAACATGAACAAGGAATGACAATTTTAGGGCAAGATTTTGATTCAAGTATAGTCTGTAATTCGGAACACCTGTGTAGTCTTCGTGTATCTGTAGTTGGATGATCATCTGTGCTAAATAGTAACCCCTTCCCTTCAACCCCGATCCGATCGATAGACTCGCATGTTTTCTATATCTGTCAACGCCTGGTTGTCTCCAACTTCGGTGTGCTTATCGGCACCAACGACACATGCTTTCTCAACTCCATCATGAGCTATGGTTGATAGTAGAAGCAGTCTACGCGTTTACCTGGGTCTGGATGTGTTTGATGTTGAACTTGATGTACCACTTGGCGTCGGAGTGTGCTTCATGGAGTATCAATTGTCCAGACGCGAGTTCAATTTCCTGTCATGATCTCCCAGCGTTGCGCATCATGTACGGGATCTGGATGTCGCAGCAAGGAACGTCCGATTGATATCAGTTGCCGTCGACAACCCGGAAGAGGCGAATGTGTCGAGCCAGAATCGGTCCGCAGCAACAACTCGTGGTTGTCGATGCAACAAGCACGCGAGTGAAGCTGAACTGGAGATGAAACAAACCAACAGGCTAGAGTTGAAATCACTGAGGGGAAGCACATTAGATATACGAAAGCAAGACAAGACTGCCACGGCGATGACTTACAAACAACGGGCAATTGGTTGGTGAAGATTGAAGGTGCAGCCAAGGAGACACAGTACGTGTCATCAAGAATTCTGCTGGATAAAGGTTTCCATCGCCAGCCGATGCGTAACAGAGATTGTGTTGGTTGACTTGGGCGTCCAGCAACCCGTATTCAGATCCTGGCAATTCAGATATAACATCCGTTCCGTCATAGCCAGCTGAGTCACGTACTCCGAGCCCTTGAGAGTGTTGGCTTGGAATGTAATGAGACAATCAGCGATTGAAAGAAAGAATGCGACTTGGCTGAACAAGACTGTGGGTGTGTGTCTTGCTGACGAAGGAAACGAAGGTCGAGTCCCGATACCGTGAAAGAACGTGCAACCGCAGACTATATCCCGAAGCTGAGCACATCACTCTGTATGACCAACTTGGTATTGGATGCAAGCCTGGGAGAGGGATGTATTTGAGTTTTCGGTAGAACAATGCTGTTCGATCATTCCGACGATGGTCTAATCTCCTTGGTTGAACTTGGCGAGGTTTGTGGGTAATGTTGTGACCAGGAACTCTAAGCTGTATCCAGTCCACCGAAAGCGAAAATGCTAGGATGCCAAAGCATATAGCTCTGTTCGACAGAAGGCAACCTGGTTGTATAAACTCGTGCGAGGGCATTGCACTCAAAACAGTTCAGTCTCTTGTCTCATGGAGAATTGACCAGGATGGCCCAACAGGAGGTTGGTTCCCATGAGTCTCCTAGTCCAACTACCACGATGAAGGAAGCCAGATGATCTGGACATCGATATCTTGAAGAAGAAAGGCATCGTGTCTCCAGACTTCGTTGCTGTTGACTGTGCCCACCATGGTGATGTAGCGCCAGCCATACCGGTTGCTGAGCTACCCGCCTCTGTATCAATCTCACCCAGATTGCGATTTATCTTGTGACAAAACACACCTTGGTGGAAGCTATGGCGAGTCTCGGGATGTAAAGAGCTTGAATTCCATACAAACGATGACAGAGATGAGTTTGTGAAGGGGCGGAGAGGCGGAGGAGGAGGGACGGGAAGGCATAGAAAGTTATGAAAACAGTGGTGGTATTCGATGATCCATACGGTAGCTGTTCGCAGTCGATAATGGTCATAGAAGGCGAAAAGAAAAAAGAAACCCAAACACCAACCCAAAAAGATTAGGGGGCAACGTGGTGATGGACGAGGTACAGTTAAGCGCGTTTCGTCCGACGCGCGCCTCAAACCTGGTGCAAAGTTTATTATTGCATGAGGTATACCAGAGACAATAAGGACGAGTCTCTGGCTCGTGTTGCTTTTTGAGCCAACCAACCAGCAGATTTCATGCTATGCAGTTTATCCTCAGGCTGCCGTAGATACGTAGGTCCGAACTGGGTTTTGTGAAGGGAATTTGTGAAAGGAATACTTTGCTGCTGATCTTGGAAACAAAACGGAAATAGAATTTCCATGTAAAAGAAGGAATGCTTTGTGCGATAACCGCGGTGTGAAAACCGGAACTGGGGAAGAGGTCTTTTTGATGTTGGACTTGATGTTGGGTATAGAGATGGAAAGATAATGCTAATGTGAAGGGAACGGAGTGTTTTTTGTCGCAGGATAGGTGTCTGAAGAATCGACATCTGCTTTAATCTGATCAGATCAAATCCTGAGATATTAGCATTTTGAATGTATTCATCATTGGCTTGGTGTACTTACAAGTTTCTTGCTTGAGCAGGGTGTGTCTCGGTAGAAGAGACATTGGAAAAAGAAAACTCCGCAATTGATGCCAGCACGAAATGCGGTACGCTTGGTTGCGTGCCGGAGGGGACCAGTTTCTTAGGCCCTGTCTTTTACTCAGAAATGAGTGGCGATTACCAGAGGTGACTCTGGCTGGCTTGGGGGGTGCTCAAGGTGAAGAAACGAGATGGGAAAGGAGAGGTGTCAGTGACAGAGAATATTCCGCAGTAGAGTAGCATGAGCTCTGGTTTGTGATACACATTCGAGTCAGTTGCTTCGAGTAATGAACCGTCGGAGCAGATTCTGACTGTTTGGGGGTGCTCAAGGAGGAGAAATCGCTATGGCAAGGGAGGAGGGTTGAGAGGATGTTGGAAAGGGAGAGATATTGAGAGGAAAATAAAAAAAGCTCCGCATTCGATGCCAGCACGAGATGCGGTGCGCTTGATTGCGCGCCAGAGGGGACCAGTTTCTTAGGCCCTGTCTTTTACTCAGAAGTGAGTGGCAATTACCAGAGGCGACTCTGGCTGGCTTAGGGGTTGGCCATGGAACTCATTCTCCTCTTCTTGAGCGACCCCCAACATCACGGGGCAGAGTAGTAACTGTCACTGTTATTTCGAAGCGTCAGAGTCATGTTGTCCTCAGTAAGTCCGGGGCTCGCGTATGGGAACACTGTACTTACCAGGTTGTGGTGATGCTGATGCTGAGGAGAAGGGGAGAGGAGGAGGGAAGGTGGAAGGAAGAGGTCTTATAGCAAGAGAGGCACAGTTTCTCAACTCTGTGCGCACACGAAAAGGGGGTTCGTTTGCCCTAAGGCTGAGGTTGTTGGCCGTGAGTGATTCAATGAACAGTTGTTGGCAGTCGTTGACAGTGCCACAGCACCGCAAGGGTAAGAACTCCAAGAACTTGACATAATACGTGTAGACTTTGGCGGTATCTCATGTGCATAATCTCAATTCTGTTGTTTTCCAGCTAAGGTAGTCTTTGTGGAGTGTAGTAGGTCTTGGCTTACCCCTGAATCACTTTGCTGGCCAATTTCCAATGGCTCTTGAAACTCGGGAAGATATTTTGCAATATCTTGATAATGGCTTACTTCTCGGAAATAAGGCTGTCTATTCTTCGACAAAAAACACTTCAGTGACATATCTAGGCAGTAACATGAGCTCTGTTTGAGAGAACCTTCGGCAGCATAAAGGCGCAGAACTCATGTCATTCCAGGTTGACAAAAGTAGACACATGGTGGTAGGCGTAGGTAAAAAGGATGCCGCCCACGTTTTTTACCGAGAATTCCCTGAGTAATCTACTAATGACACAGTCCCAATAAAACTGGTCTTCATCTTTGCTCTTATGTGGTCCTTCTGCGACCAGTTCTTGATTGCACGGCAGGCGTTGGCTTTCACATTGTCTCTGCTGTAGCTTCAAATCGCTCCCGCACGGATCCAGACGCACACTGCCAGGACCCAGGTTCAAAGGGTCCTTGGAGCTCAATACAAAGTGTTCCATCCGGATAATATGTCAGTCAAAGGCGGCTCCAGTCTGATAATGTGACAGTTGCTCGTGGGGTGAACGCTTAATCTAGACGAAGAGCGAGGGGGCCGAGGCTTTTTGGGCAGTAGTTATGGAAGAACTACAGTCTGGTGGGAAAGATGCTTTCAATGCTCTTGAGCACGTCACGAAAAGCACTACCTTAACTAGCCATAGTGTGTGGCATTAGTTGTTAGTCCCAGTTTTTTGTGAAAACGGACATCGTTGACAGTGAGGATGTGTAACATATCAACGTCAACACAAACCAAGCGAGCTCTTTCTGTAGCAATTAGGGTCGACGTAGCTGGTTGAGTAGGACCAGTGCCACCAAGTTTATCAGCAAAGGGGTCGCGATCGGGTTGCGGTGCTAGTTTGTTCATGTCAAAAAGTAAGAACCCAAACTTCTCGGTCACGGGGCAGAATCAACTCTATTTTGACATCGACTTAACAGGACATAAAATAGCTTAGTCAGGGGTTAAGCCTGTTGTAGGATCATCGCTGTATAATATGTAGGTAGAGTTATACATCTTCGTGGGACATACCAAAGGGGCCATCGTGGCGTCTCTTGCAGGGTTTCCGTCCTTGTCGACTCAGTACATTCGCTAAAGAAAGCTGACCTCTGTCAAGTGTTCTGAACTTCTTGTGTGTGTGTGTGTGTGTGTGTGTGTGTGTGTGTGTGTGTGTTGTCTCTGGCTAATGGCCAGTTGGGGTGATATGTTGGGTGGGAGGGATAGTGGTATGTCCTAACTATCAAAAGATTGATCCATTCAGACCCAAAAAACAAAGAAACTCCAAAGCACACCTTGAATCTCATTCAATATTGCTTCAGTGGTTCCTTTAAGGCAGTCCCAGGCCCCCCAAGGATGTCCCTGAAGCAGTGCTCCTATTCTACCAGTCGGCTGTGTTCATGGGTCGGTCGTCGAGGACTATAAAGGTCCATTCAATGTCCTCAAGTTTGATGGGTTCTCTCATGCTTTTGATAGCGTCATGAAGGGGTTCTGTCTAGGTGTAGCAACTGTTCCCCATGCGCTGCAGGATCATCGGACTTGACTGGTCGTGACAAGTTCATGTCACGTACCCCTGAACTGGCATGGTTTCAAAATATTGTCCTGTGACGAAGTCTCTCAGGTCCAGCTATCTAGTGTCAACAGTGAAGGGCAGGGGAAATGAAAGAGTTCCCAGTGTTCTTGAGCTAGGTAAGATCAGGCAAGCATTCAAATCTAATCTGCTGTAGCACACTTGAATAAGTGACAATCGCCATTGGACTTGAGTATCTAAGCCCAGTCGACAATCAAGCCAGAGTCAGAAGTTGCAGTTTTCATGGCCCCATCCCCAAAACAGTATTGAGCATTGAGTAGAACTGATCATAGACCTCTCGCAGGTTAGCAAACTATGCAATCAGTTCGACTTGAGGACCCGTAATGTGGCCCTTTCTTAACAAAGCCTCATATCGATCCGGTATGGTGTAGTGGCTAACATTTCGCGCTCTCATAACCTGAGAGATCAGTTCCGCGGAGCCCAGGGTTCGATTCCCTGTACCGGAGTCCCTTTTTGCTATTCCTTCCATCCAGATAGCTGTAGTGAATTAATCTTTCTTTCTTGGTTGTCTATTTATCTGGATGCACACACACAGGTGCCATGTGGCTAGACCTTGAGTGTTTATTTATAGCTTGTCTTATTATAGTTATTATATCTTAAAGGCTATAAGAGCCAGTCTTTAGAGTCTGCAAGCTGATTATGGAGCTTTGAAGGAAGCCTGCGAAAGGATGAGTGAGATGTGAAGTTAATGACTGGATGGTTTAAAGAGGGTAAAGAATGAGGTTGAAAGTGATCTCCAAGCGGTGGAGAACAATAGGAGAAATTGATAATAAGTGCCGAAAAATAAATGCAACTTGTGATCTTTCTATTATGCTCTCCTCATATGGGTGGCCAGGAGAGGAGGCTTTGAAGTCGGCCCCTGATGGCCCAGGTTTGCCGCTACGCAAAGGAACTCCATAAGCACAATTCTTCCATTTGTGTTCTATCGGATCCCCGCGAGCCATGCTCGGTTGATATCTACGTTGGCTCCAGGACCTATTAGCCAGAAATATGCGGACACTCGACGTGATTTCAATCAGTAACAGTAAGCAACGAACGCATCCAAAACCAAAGGTTTTATTTGCTTAGCAGAGGATAACTTACTTGAGCGAATCCATCTTCCGTGCAGACACCTTCAATAACGGCCCTGTTTTGTACCTATCTTGAAGAGAAACAACATAACGATGGATCACTTCCCATTTAAGCGACCTGATGTACATCTTGAGAAGAAACCAGATGTGTCTTGCGTGTATACCAGTGAAAATGTTGTCTGCCACGATGGACTTGGCTTTCTCCATGATTAAGCCACCATCTAGCTGTCTTTACGCTTTCCCACCAAGATTACTTACAAGCGTAATTCATCAGATGGACTACTGCAACTGTCTATCTTGAACTTCGTTGTTCCAGTAAGGCACCATCGGAGTTCACCTCCCATTAGAGAGGACCGACAAGACGATGGTGCAGCCCGTAATCGAGGAGATATTGACAGAGCCAACCCCTACGAGGACATAGACCTGGCTGAGGGGGTTTCTGACGATGAAATTTCCGATGAACCACAGGATCCAGTTGTATCAGATCCCTTTGCCCAGAAATGGGTAGCCCGGCTAATATCTGCAACACAAGAGCCGCCAAGAGATATCACCCAATTCCTCATACCAGGTATTACGCTCCCTATAGTCAACTATCACAGCCATGCTCCAGAGAGCGAAGGGTTTCGCAGAGATCCAAGATTTAAAGATGCTCAAGGGAGAGGATTTCAGGGATGAGCGACGAAAGTAGGCTTTATAAAGCTTTTTCGGCATCTTGAGATTTCAGTTTTAATCAAATCACTCCTTGGGTCTATATAGCCAAAAGCTATCTCCTTACTCGGTAGAAAGGGCCTGCCAAAAGTTCATGATGGCTTTCGTCTGTGGGGTGTATATCTTGACTGCTCCCGTCGGTAGGGTATGAGTGTTGTATTGTCTGGTGGGGAATTAAAGAGGATATTAGGATGGTTTTAGGGTACCTACTTTCAAATTTTAGGATAATTTATGATGATATTAGGATACTATCATCTAATGTCATCCTTAAAATAGCAGGGAGACTTCTCCGCAGGAACTGAATGCGGCTTGTTTGAAGCACAGTAAGAGCCTCACAGATAGAGGTACCTATCAGTAGCAATGCCAAATTGCTTGTATCCTGGCTCTCTGCGGTACTAGAATAGATGAGAGCCGGTTTTGAACAACTAAGGGACGAAGAATCTCAGTAGGCATATGACTGAATAGCGCATTTAAATACCATAAACTTCGATACCAGCACAAAGTATATTGCGAGATTGAAGCATATAGCTAGCCAGACTACTGTATTAGATCTATCATATCTAGCTAACTCAAAATCTGTTGGCCTCATTGTCTAGCAAGTCACTTGCCTAGCGAAGAACTTTCATATCTTCTAAGCTGATGCCACCATCTTCAACACTTGGATCGACTGAGACTTTTGATCCAAGAGTTCTATCTCACTGCCGCATTAAAACCGACCAGACTACGTAATATCATTGTGGACCAAACACAACAAATACAGTACCTCCCTTCTCGATGCTTATCGAGCAGTTGGAAGAACATCAGTCACTCATAGAAATCTCCGGCAAGGTCGATTTCACCACAAGGGCCATCACTTGTGAGAATTGTATCCAGCCAGGTCAGTTCAGGGAGAAAAACCTTTGCACATCTTGTTGTGTTCGATGCAAGTGTGGGTATCACGCAAGTCGCCGAATGGGTTAATGCTAGCTGAGCGGTTTTGCTTCTTGAAAAGGAGGCTGGGTCTGTACCTTTTAGTTATTTCTTCATCCATTATGCAGGTAGAGACGAAAGGGTAATAGCATTCTACCAAGTTGAACAACTGCTTGAGGGGGTCCATTGTCGAGAGGATCACTCTGGTCAAGGAGTCCGACCATCGGAAATTCACTATCAATTCAATACCAGAGTACTGAGAGGGATGCTAGTCTGGCGAAGCATTCAAAGATAGCTCATCGCCAATATTCTGGTTCTGATCATCTCGCGCAGCAAAATGCTCGGCACCTATTTCCATTGCTATATTGCTAACAGCCTAAACTTAGGATTAACTTCACTAAACTTTTATCTAGATCCTAAAGTCATCATAAGGATTATCATAAAGATTATCATAAGCCTAGGTTCAGCCCCGGACATTTCTTCCTGTGATAAAAAGGTTTCTCTGCTTCACATCACCACGATCACTTATTATACACCCACACACCCGATATCAATCATGTAGACTGTCATTCTCCCTGCTCGACCATTTCTTGTATCAACCTCCACTCCCCTGATCACCGCCCTGTCCAAGCCTCTTCCACTATAGACCTCAACATCCAAGGTCTCCCCCTGTTGAGATCGTGTACTTACTCCTTGCATGACCAATTCTAAAAGAAATCTCAGAACTGAGAAGCAAGCAAGCCCTCTTTCAGATTTAGGGACCGAGTTAGCCAAGTCCAATCTTGAAACTGAGAAATATTACCTCATAACAGGATCTATGTCAACCTCCCATCTCATCAACATGGTCCGAGACATGGTTGAAGACAGCACTTCTGAGAATCCTTCTCCAGATAAGAAATATCTCATAGATATTTCAGCAAATTCGAAAGACATGATAGCCACATTGCTATCTACACCTTTACGAAATCAACCCAATTCTTACGGAAGAGATGGAGTCAGAGTTATATAGAGCCTATCTTCGAGGGTGGCTGGGACAACTCAACGTATCTTCTTCCTTGCCCCTTCTTCCAGTAAGTACTATCGTCGCTCAAGAACGCGACCTGACAATCGATGGTATCTACAAGGCTTGTAAGGATCGTCTGTACGAACCAAGGCGCGGTTGAGACTCATCGAGTCTCGGACTACAACAAGAGTTACGCCAGAAAGACCGCCTTTTATTAGATCACCAAATGGACGAAGACTAGGGGGAACGAAGAGATGATGGCATAAGAAGAGTAAGACCAGTTAACCAGTTGCATTTCCTTGTTGGAAACTAATTAAGACCAATCTTGCTCCTGTCAGCCAAATGCCATTCAAGACGGAGAAATTCTCACTGCTGATATTGCCATGCTCTGAACCCGGGACCGATCTAGAATTTCATCCTTACACTTCAAAGCTTATGGAACCAGGATACTTGTCGACATAGGATTCTTCTGATAGGACTGCTCACATTAAGGGGGACTCAAATTCCCCTTCTATCAAACTCACTTGATAGTCAAAGCCGACACTTACCAAAAGAGCACGGTCTTAATCAGCGCAGTGGTCGTGGATGGCAGCCCATTCCCTTGAACAATAAGCATTCGGCTTGGTGTATTTAAAAGGTCGCGCTACTCCTTTGAATGACATGTTTGCGTCAGGTATAGACCATCCATAACCACAAAGTGCATTGAAGTTTTTAATGAACTGGGAAGAATGCCTTTGATTCCTTGTCCTCCAGCAAGGAAAGTAAATACTACAAACTTTAACATAGGAGATGGAGCTGCTTAAATTGTACATGCTTCCATGGGCGCCATCTTCCTCAACGACAACCATTCCACTGCATTTCCCTTGAATAGATCCACTGAGAGTACTGCCTTGACGCAATTCGGCTGAATCTGAATCTCTGATCAACTCCTCTGCTCTGAATCCTTACTTTCTGTACCAATGTCGGGTAATGCGAGTGTTCCTCATTTTCCGTTGGAGTTGGAAGATTCCGTACATCAATGCTTCACTCGTAGGAGGACAGCCTGGAACATAGACGTCAACAGGGACTACACGATCGCAGCTTTCTAGGGAGTTAGCCGGACTGTATGAAGGAGGGGGGGAGTTGGGGGACATATCTCGGACGACAGAGTAGCTGTAGTGGTAGTATCCACCACCATTAGCACATGAACCCATGGAAATAACCCAGCGGGGATCAGGCATCTGGTCGTAAACCTGTCGGAGAGCAGGGGCCATCTTGTTTGTGAGAGTTCCAGCAACAATCATGACGTCGGATTGTCGTGGCGAAGCACGGAAAATAATACCGAGGCGATCCTGATCGTATCGGGGGGTGGAGAGGTGCATCATTTCGACGGCACAGCAGGCCAGACCGAAGGTCATGGGCCAAAGGGAGGACTGACGAGCCCAGTTGGTGACGGCATCAAGTGTGGTCCTGTTGAATGGAACAGGTTAGTGCTGGTCCAGTATTTGGGTAACGAAAGCGATTTTCTCGACACAAGTAAAGTTGCAGGATTAACATACAGTGCATACTGCAAGGCACCCTTAGGAGCAACCTCGCTGGGCAGCGGAACCTCTCGGCGAACCTTTCCTACACCAGTTGCGGAATGAGTCTGGAGGGCGCTCGCATCGCGGCGAGAGTTGGTCGTGAAGGCGGCAGCGGTAGTTCGGAAAGGAACAATGGCAGTTTTAGGCTTGACTATTGTGACAAGTGAAGTCAGTAACATGTATTGGCGTCGCGA